GCAGACCCCCCGCTGAGCAGGGAGCCCGATGCGGGACTCGATCCCGGGACTCCAGGATCATGACCTGAGCCGAAGGCAGTCGCTTAACCAACTGAGCCACTCAGGCACTTGAGATACCATTTTTCTTTAAAACAAAACAAAAACTATGTATTTGGAAGGACGGAATCCAAAATGTTAAGCCTAGAAAGCAGGATTTGGGGTGACTTATATTTTGCTTCTATGTATGTTTTCAAACTTTTCTTCTGAAATTAAGTATAATTAATGTAATTAAAAACAACCGTTCCATCCCTGCCTCCTCAAAAGCAGCACAACACTTCCAACTAGGAACGAAGTCCTTCAAGCTCACCTAGCCACCTGGTCACCACCATAGGTGCTGGGCGGGTCCAGAGAGAACAAAGGCTCAGCAAGGTCACACAGCAGTCAAGGTGGTCCTAGAACGAGGGTCTCATTTCCCTCCCCCAGGATGGGGCCCAGTGAGGGGACCTCAAGAGGCACAGGATCAGGACCCACTCTGTCTCACCTGCTGCTTCAGGTGGGTCTCCTGCTGCTTCATCAGCTCGCACATCCTCTGGGACTCCACTGCCTCTTTGAGGAGCTATTTCCAAGACAGGACCCCAGATCCTATCAGAAGCCCCTAGGGGCTGTTTGGTCTTTTTTAGCCATATGCCCCAGGACCCACTGAAGCTTCCTGCTCTCTGACTGCTATCTGAGGAAGCAATGTCCTGGTCTGGCCAGGCGGCAACCTCTCCCTGACACACCTGACTTATGAGCTGAGCCAGAACCCAACCTGCCTCCTCCCAGACTCCCCACCCTCAGGGCCCGAGCCTCACAAAATCCTTCTCCCGCTGGTGCCTCTCCTCTGCCTCCTTCAGCATCTCTTGGGCCTGCTGGAGCTTGGCATCCACCAGCTGCTGCTGCAGGTCCTTGTGTTTGAAGACTTTGTCGATATGCTGCAGGAAAGCATGGTGGGAGGGCCACCTGTCAGCAGCTCCCTTTCTCAGGGAGGCCTGGTGGCTACAGAGATGTCCCATCTGCAGAGACCAGGGTCCCCTGCCCAGCCTCCCATCTCACTCTGACACGCTGGACTCCTCACGTTCCACAGCACTTGGGCCCCTTGTCCCTGGAAGGTCTACTTCCGAATCTCACCTCGTTTCTCTCCAGTCAGTCCTGGGTGGGCACAGGGATGAAACTGGCTCCCAAGAAGCCAAGTAATAAATACACTCAAACCTCCGGCCCCAGATCACTCCGCTGGGCTAACAGCCCTCACTTTTGTAGCCCGACTCCCTTGTATATGGGAAGAAAGGACAAAAACGACACCTCCACCAACACAACAGCTTAGCTCCCTTGGCAAAGATCTGCCCCATCTATAGACCAAGACTAGATGTGCAAATTTCAAGGCAGTCCTCCTAACTGCCGGAGGGGCCCTGGGGGCCAGGAGTGGGTGAGACAGCAAGAGGCGGTGGACTCATAGTGTGGCTTCAAAGATCAAAGCAACTGAGAAAAGGCACGTGGGGACGTCACCTACATTCCTAATAGGAAAGGAAAGATGGCCTAGAGGTGGGTGTTGGCTGTGCAGGACTCCTTACCTCCTCCCGGAGCTCGTACTGCTCGATCAGCTTCTTGAGCCTCTCTGCCAGCTCCATGTTCTCCTGGCGCAGCTTGGAGTTACGCTCATTGTGCTGTTCCATCTGCAGTTGAATGTCGTTCAGCGTCACCTGGAAGTGTGAGGTCACCTCCTTGCGCTTCTCCTCTTCCTCCCGGGCCCGCTGCACGCCTTCTTCCTGGGCAGAGAAGTCAGCCCCAGCTCCATCAGCCGCAGCTCCCCAGCCAGCCATGGTCTGTACTGACAACCCTCTCTGCTCTCAGAGTGAGGAGGGGCCAGGTTGCAAGATGTCCTGCGATGGGGCTCCCAATGGACCCCTCTATCAGGTGACAGCAAGGGAGAGATTCTCGCCCTAGAACGATGCAGGCATTCTAGAGGAACCTGGATCTCCCGAAGCCCATTCTTCCAGACCTCAGGTTAAGTGGTCTTGTTTCTGCACTTTCATTTCTCACCTCTCACCCCCACTGCCCACCGCTGACCTCTAGTTTGGTAGTACCCAGGGTTGGCAAGATTGTGCAGAATTAGGCATGCAGACACTATTGGTGGGAAGGCAATCTGGCAAAATCTATTAAAATTTACAATGTGCACATTCTTTGACCCAGACATTTCACTTCTCAGGTTTATCCTATGGATAAATTGTATACAATGAGCCGGGGATATATATATATATAACTAGAACTTCCACTGTAGCTCTATGTATATAGTAGTGTAAACTTAGAAACAACGCAGCAATTCCTTAACTGGGGCACTGATAAAATACCGTATATGCATACAATAATGCTGTCAAACAGAATGAGACAGCCCTCAATAAACTGAGAGGGAAAGGCAGCTACGCATTCTGGGAAGTAAAAAGACAGAACGGGATGTGAAACGATACACGATGACGGCTCCGTCTGTACGGAACCCTATGTGGGAGTGCGTACAGATGCAGCTAGTCTGCGGGCTGTACTTAAACTTGGGCGTAAGTACGTGTACTTCCCAGTGGTTTCTGATGGACACTGGGGTTGAGGAGGGTGGGCAACTGTCACTTTTAAGCTGCTATACTTTTATCACCTTTGAATCTCTCCTACCAAGTTTATATTAAAGTTGAAACGCTGTCAAACTAAAAATGAGCAAAAACACACTGCAAAATACCATATATTTGCTGATCCAAATTTGTAAGAAATAGATAAAGGATCCAGAGGTCAGAGCAGTGACTGGGCTTTAACCAGACTGACCCCGCCCCCGGAGCAGCAGAACGAAGAGAAAAGCCCCAGCATTCCAGACCCACCAAGGCTGGGAGAGGAGCTGCCTGCCAGCAAACTGAACAGTACAGAAGCCCTGCCTCCCGGGCTCCCTCAGCCCCGCAGCCCTCACGTTACCGGACACGAGGATGGGTCAAGGGGTTCTAAGAAGCTGCCACTAAGGTAGGGGCGTTACCGGGGACACTGATGTCTCTGCTGAAAGCCCGTGCTACTTCTTAAGGGCAAAGCCCACCGAAGAGTGGAAGTCAAGGGAAGCAGTCGCGGGCTGGCCCACCTTCAGCGAGCGGTTGTGGCGCTGCAGCTCACGGCACAGGCTCTCCAGCTTGCTGCGGGCCAGCACGGCCTTGCTGTGCTCCCCGCGCAGGTGGTCCTTCTCCTGCACCAGCTGGCTCTGCTTCTTCTGCAGCAGCTTCATCTGCTTCTGGGAGTTCCGGTGCTCCTCCAGCTGAGGACAGGCAAGGCAAGGAAGTGCCGTGTGGGGCCCTTCCCCGGGTACCCCGGCCCTCTCCCGACGCCAGTTGTTAAGGGCTCCAGCTGGACACCGTGCGGGTGACTCACACCTCTCCGACAACCCCGAGGGCCCCGTGGCAGGGATACAGAAACGGGCCGTCGGGACAAGCAGGGCTGCAGACCCCAGCTTCTCCCTGCTCTGACCAGAGACAAAGTTCTCAAGACTCTTACCTCTTGGGACACTCATGCCCTCAGGTGAGACCCCCACCACACCTTCTTGTACTCAACAGACCCCTGTCACTCCCTCTCGCTGCTCCGAGACTCTGCACCATTTCTCTCCTCAGTGTGATTGCTATTACCATTTTGGTCTTTTCATTATGGACAGATCTTAACCTCCTCCTCAGACCCCGTCCTCCCCGCCGGATCAGCTACCCTCCTGTGAGCCCATTCAACGCGGATACAGTGTGACTCAATTATGTAACGACAACTCTTCCAGTGGCCACGTTAAAAAGGTAAGTAGATGACATTAACACTAGTAAAACATTTACTTAATCTAGTATCTATTATTATAATACTCAACCTGAAACCAATGTAAAAAATTTGCGTATTTTATTCTTCCCCTTTCCTTAGGTGTTTGAAATCCAATGTGTATCTTACGCTCAGAGCACATCCAAACCCAGACTAGCCACATTTCAATTGGCTAATGGTTACTGTCCTGGACAGTGAGATCCAGGTTTTGTCATTACCCAGAAGCACACATATCTCCATTATCTCATGCCAGGGCAGGACCACTATCACCTATCATTCTAGTTCCTTCCCTCCAATATCTGTGGTCCCAGAAAGTCTACCACAGTGGACCTCCAACCTAATGACCCAATCATCCTTCCACTTTCCTTGAACTCTCCTTTAAATAATCATTGACCGGGCGCCTGGGTGGCTCAGTTGGTTAAGCGACTGCCTTCGGCTCAGGTCATGATCCTGGAGTCCCGGGATCGAGTCCCGC